AAGAGTGGAGCTTCAAAAGCTACTGCCAAGAAAACAAAGAGGAGGACAGGAGCAGGGGAAGGGGAGGGGGGAAAAGAGAAGAGCAGAGAAAGTTAAAGAAAAGAGTAAAGGAAAAGGAGAAAAGAGTAAGTAACTATCATCTTCTACCATTGTTGTTTCAAGCCTTGATGCACAGTGAGGGCTTGGTGCTGACCTAAGGAAGAATCCGGCGTCCCTCACCTGAGCACTTGCACCAGCACAGGCACAAACACAATTTCGATGCACTTCTGTGAGCCGTGTATATTTATCAGTCACTGATAAGCACAACTAACCAGGTCACTCGCTCACCAGAGCTGCCCTGTCAGGAAAGCCACTGGACCTCTGGAAGCCCAGTGTAGCCGTGTTTGAACATGACAGGGGGCATGTGATGGCTCTCCCGTCACAGCGAATGTCAGGGCTCTGCAGAACTCGCTCCCATGGCCGCTTGCTTCTCTTACAACGCCCCTCCCTCCCGTTTCCCCAGAGGAATGGAACCTTATAACCACGTATCTCCTTGAAGGATCAAACACGCAATTCCTTCCCGTGGGGAGCTCCTGGTTTCTCTCTGGGAGAATGAAAATAGGTCTTTTATCTCATGTCGATTCCACTGTTTTGCACACTTGGGAATCTCTGCTCACTGTTCTGCTAATTGCTTCCCAGGTACTCCAGGGTGAGCACTGTTCTTCATCTCAAAGTTGGGGAGGACCAGTGCAAACCAAAAGCATGGCTCACACACAAGGAAAAATGCAAACAAAACCCCACGTTGTAATAGCACCAATACTCGCCCTTATTCTCAAAGGACAAGTAATAGTGGCGAACTCATGTAATTGTTTACACTAAGCCAGGTGTGTGTGCTGGTGTAATTACACTGGCGTGATTGGGAGTCTACTAAGGGCCATGCACAAGGCCTTCCAACTCTGAGTCCTCCCAATGTGAGCCTAGCTTCCTGTTAATGAGAAGCAGCAGATACAGTCAGAAAGGCTCTGCCCCTGAAAACAGAATGGATGTAACTGGGAGCAGAAAGGACATTTCTATCCCACCACTCCTTTTACATCCTACTACCTAAAGCAAGCTGCTGAAATTTCTAGGAGTGAGATTTTTCTAAGCAATGCAGCTCAAAGATGGTCAATAACAGAGCCAGACCTGGGCTTTGTACTTCAGGGTCTCTAGAAACCAAAATATCAAACCCAGTGCTGAGCTTTCCTTAGGGCTTAACAAACTCACTTCTGCCACCCCTGGCCCACAAACCTCTCCCAGCTGGCTTTCGAGACAGCTGGATCTGAGAAGGACTCACAAAATGATGGAGAAAGGAAAGTTACAGCAAAACCAATTATTCCAGCCCAGAAGCTAGGTAAGCCCCATCTACCTGGCCCATGCCATGCACACTGGAGGTGGATAATCAACACACTGTCCTAAGGGTCAATCACCAGAGTTTTCTTAGAACAGACAATACTTTAGGAAGAAAATAAAACAGGAGTATGGGAAAGCGCTGTGAGGGCCGACGGGGATGGCTAGGAGAAGGAATGAGATTCATCCTCCTTTCTGCATGTTGATATTTCAAGAATAAATCCGTGGTTGTTACTAGGTTTAAAATGCTTTCTTACCATACTTTCATATGTCCATGAATGACAGAAGAAAGCAAAAAAGGAATTAGTTCATTATGTATCTAAGGACCAGAAACTAGTTTATAAAGTGAAGCCAAGCGAGGGCTGGGAACCTAGCGCCACTGCAGAGCCCTCACCTCGAATGTATGAGGCCCTGGGTTCAACCCCCAGAACCACAAAAAAAAGAAAGCAAAATTGTGCTTACAGAGAAACAATGTCTAGGTGAGTTATACTTCAAAGCCATGAGTTTTTCTCACTCTGCTTTTAGCAAAACTTAGTTTTCTAACCTTAAGCCAGCCATTACTACCTTACCGAGTTAAAATCAGGCATGCACACACTCACGGTGAGTCACGTGGCAGTTAATTCTGGGCGGCCCTTCAAAGGCTGCACGTCCCCAGTACATGGGTCCCGCCCATCTCAGGACCTGGAACTGCCTCCCTTCTGTGCTATAATCCTCACTGTCTTAATACTAGAGTTGATTTATCGCACCTATCAAAGGAGTTTCAGACCCTGGATGCAATCCTGTAGCTTACATCAAAGAAAAAACAAAGAGTATTTTCTTTTAAAACAGGGCTGACTCCTTCATCTTCACTGACACTACCTCTGAAAACATTTCGGAACATGTCGGTGCTGTCACGTGGTCCCAGGGTAATTATGCAGCAAGCCAAATTTGGCACCTGGCTTCTCCAAACTTCAAAATACATTTTTGAAAAATTAAGGATTGTGAAACTGGCTGTCGGGAGCCAGCAGGACTGTTCTAAGCTCTGAGATACCATCGCCTGGTTGCTGCTGGTCTGGGCCGCGCCAGGGTAGACAGACACAGCTGACACTCCAGGCTGCTCTCCTCTGCGGTCAGTCTGCAAAGCAGGCAACGATGAGAGCATCGCATTGCCAGGAGCAGAGATGGGCACACGGAGACCACTCGAGTTGCACTGTCAGGCACTTCCTGTGCACTGGGTGAGCATGAGTGAAATTTGGAGCCTGAGTTTCAGGCCACAACTCTGTGGGACCCATGCGCCTCTGTGGAGCTGGAACAACAGGAGGGCCCCCGGGCTGCACGCCAGGCCTGGCCTCCAAATCCAGTCTCCAGGAGGAAGGAAGGTGTGGCTCTTCACTTTGGATCCCACTAGAACTCCTGCTTTGTTTCCCTCATACACAGCCTGGACCTCCCAAACCAGGACGTCTTCGACTATAGGGACAGGCAGGCCGCTCCCCTGGATCCCACAGAGGATCGTCCAGAATGGTATCTTTATCTCTCCTTTGCACAAGAGAAAGCACCTTGCTCAATGTCCCTGAAGCCATCAATCTCTGTAGACACAGATTTGGTGTCCGATCCACTCCCCTCCAGCAGCTGGAGCTTCACTGTAGGCAGCAGGACCTGAGGGGAGGGACTGTCCCCATGAACCTGCCTTGGCCTCCTAGCCTCTGACCCTATCATGCACATACCTGACCTGGCTCCAGGGACCAGGCCACATGGTTAGAGGCTGAAGGATCTGCGTCTTGGTTCCCCCACTTCCTAGAATTTGCAAGACTCCATCTGCAGGAAAGTTGTTGCATTTCCCTGTCCCTCAGAGTCCCTGTAAATAACGGGAGTCCACACCTCCCTACTGGACCTGCGGGTCAGTGAGAGGCTTCAAGCAGTCCTGATAGTACCCAGCTCCAGTGCAACAAGTGAGAGCACATCTTAGAGCCAAAACAACAACAGCAACGACAAATCTGAAACAAGTACATCTCACACAACACTGAATTAAGTCAGTAGCGCTCCTCAATAAGCTCGTGTAGAAAGAACATCTCCTCTTTTTAAAAATGTTTCTTATGATCCGATATTTTACTTTACCTGAATCTGTATGCTGCTGTCCGGTCATACCCTAGAGCCCTCTGTCTAAGGGGATGCAGGACCAGTATGTAAGCTCAGTGGGGTACATGCTTGTCTCAGAACCAGAGCCACAATTCATAATAATCAAGTTCAGGAGATGGTGTCCAGAGCAGGTATGTGCCTGAGTGAGAAAAGCTAAGCTCTGTGGCCCTCGGAGTTTAATTTAAAAAGAGGAGAGGTGATCCCATGGCAGACACACAAGTGCCACCTGCTCCCGAGGACTCTATCAGCTGGCAGAGGGAGAGAGCCAGACAGCCTGGGAATACAGGTGGGCAGGGAGGAGGGGCTTCCCAGCCACCCCTCAGTCAGGCCACAGAGCTTTCATTTTGGCAGCTGCACCCTGCCTTTACCCTTTTTCCTAGATTTTGCAAGACTCCATCTGCAGGTGTTCTGTATCTTGGCAGGGACTCTCCCAGGAGACTTCAACAGTATCTCTTCCAAGCCAAAATCTCTCGACCTCTGCCCAACAGAACCACCCGGATGGAACGGCTTTCGAAACTGCAGACCAGTGACTGGCACAGGGTCGCTCAGGTTGTGCTCCCCTCTCAGCAGTTCCCTGTGCAGTAAAGCTTGAGTGTGCTGTGGGGCCCTTCCCTCCTCCAGTGGTTCCCCTGCACCAGCGATGCCAGTGTCATGCACGGCAAGTAAAGGCCTGGTCCTCTTCCGGGTGCTTGTGTAATGCGACCTAGACCTGAGGCAAGCTCCTCTCTAGTGGGCTCAGGGTGGGCATAACCAAGCCAGGTCTTACTGAACCACGCACAGCAATCCCATTTGTTCTTTAATAAGCTCACTATTTTAGCTGTCTGAGTATCAAACTCTTCAAAACAGCAGAAGGAAACATCCTAAATAGAAAATCCAGGGTACAGAAAACCTCGTTTTCAAACACGCACTGCTGGCAGCCTGCAGAGCCCTCAGATGGGAACGCAGTGAGGAGTGGGGGACCATAGGGCACCAGGTGTGGGACGCGCCAAGGGTGAGCTGGACGCCACCACCTGGAGAGAACCCGGGCCTAAGCTTGCCGCGGGCTGGGGCGCGCCTGGACCGACTGCACACCTGGCCAGGGTCACCTGGTTAGGCAGGACGCGCACCTGGCTGAGGACCAAGCTATCGGCGCCTCTCTCCCGGCCACAGTCCAGAGCTCCAGAGACCGGGCAGAAAGACCAGGCTGGTGGTGGGGAATCTGTCCCCGGGTCCCAGGGGGCGCGAGTGCCCCTGACCCGGCCCAGTTCCGCCCGGGCCGCCGGCGCTGCGCAGCCAGGGAAGAAGGAAGCAAAGTTGGAGCCCGCGCCGCGTGTACTGTCTCAGCCTCCGCGGGCGCGCCCTACCGGAGCAGAAAGCAGTTTACCGGGTCCGGGCCGGGAGCAGACTGCGGATCTGGGACAGGGAGGCACAGGGACACAAGACATGGGGCCCGAGGGACACGGACGCGGGGCGGGAGACAAGAACGCGGGGTGAGGGACACGGACGCGGACGCGGGGCAGGGGACCCGGTCGCACACTCACCGCGCTTCTCTTCGGGTGCCGCGTGCGCCCCCAGCAGCGCCAGCAGCGCCAGTAGGGCGCACATCGCGGGCCCTGCCGCCGCGTACGGCCGCATCGCGCTGTCCTAACCCGGGCGCTGGCCGTCGTCCACTCCGCGGGGCTCGCGCTTCGGACGCCTCTGCTTCGCGGCGGGGAAGAGGCGGGCGGGGCCAGGCTGAGGGCGGGGCCTGGAAGAGGTGGGCGGAGCCGGGAAGAGGGGCAAGGGGAAGGGGCCGCAAGGAGGTGGGCGGGAGAGGGGCGAGCCGGGGCGGGGCCTGGCCGGGGCTACTAGGAGGTGGGGCGAGACTGTGAGGAGACTGGCCGGATCTCGAGGAGGTGGGCGGGAGCATGGGCGATTTGGGGGCGGGGCCTCGAGGAGGTGGGCGGGACTTGAGAAGGGCGGGACCATGAGGGAGTGGGTGGGGCGGAGTCGGTGGGCGGGGTTTAGAGGAAGTGGGAGGGGCGGGGTCAAAGTGAGGACCTCGCCAAACCCCCGCGCCGCGCCCACCAGCGTCCCCGCCCGTCCCCGCCGCGCCCTCCTGTCCTTTTCCCTACCGGCGCGGGGCACCGGCCTTAGCCCAGGCACCGGATTAAGTCTCCGGCTGCGAGTAGCTGGTCCCCCGGCACCTGGGGCTAGCAGGGAAGCAAGGGCTCTGGGCTGGAGCAATCCCTCGCGTCCCTGGGCACCGTGAGGCCTCGGGAGCCTGCGGCTGCTGGAGAAATCCGGCGGGGCACTTCACACAGGAAGAGCCAGCCTGGACTGGAAAGCAGGTGGTAGCGCTCGCAGAAGAAGGTGCCAGGCGTGAAGGCTGAACGCAAACCGACAGCTGAAAGGTCTTCAGGGGCCAGGTGCCCGTGACCTGGGCAGCCAGCGGCACTGCAGGAGGAACAAGATGACACCAGGGATGAAGGATTGGCCAGGAAACTGGGCTTCCTGGAACTGCCCAAAGTTCTGCTCAGCTCCTCCTGCAGGGCTCCACCCGACCTGCTGGAGAAAAAGGCTGTCCCGTGAGCCTTGGCCTGGTAGAGTCCGAGCTGCTTGATCAGCCTGAGTCACAAACCAGACTACAGAGTCAAGGCCCCTTCCGCGCACCTTCGTCTCAAAGAGGCTGTGCTGAGGGTCCATCTGGCCTCTTGTAAGGCTGAGTTTTTACCTGGGTGGTAGTGGAACCAGTGTTCTCTGCCACCCACGTTTCTGCAGCTGCTTCTGTGGATAAACACAAGCAGTCACTCCTGTGCCTTAACAAATCAGGGCAAACCCTATGGTTTGAATTCCTGTGCTTGCTCCCTCCAAGATTCCAAACAAGAACTCAAAGCAGTTTGCAAAGAAACACAAATGCAAGTGGAAAACTCAGAGAACAGCAGCTGGGAAGCCCCATAGAGAGAAGTCAGATGAAAGGAGAGTCAGTCTTGGAAAGTCTGTGAACCACAAAATCCCGCCAACCTGTTATCCAGCGCCACACACTGGGTTCCACATCCCACTCCCTGTCAAGGAAATGCAACAGTGACACAAACTGTACTGTCCGAGTGTTAAATGTAAAGCACTTTAAGCTACAGCCCACTTTGCAGGCTTCCCAGGAAATTCTCCCCAGTCCTCTGAAGAGAATCCTCCAGGATCTACAGCTCTGAGTCAGCTCAGAAGTGTGGCCCTTCTGGAGCTGTGTGTGGGTATTTGTGACAATGTCCTTCAGTGTGACCTCAATGTCACTGTGTCTCAAGACGCAGGGCTCTGGGGAAGTGATTGCTAGAAGGACAGTGGGCACTTCTAACATGGGGTGGAGAAGCCAGGATCTGCTGCCTGCCCCCTTGGACCTCTCCAGGAAGCCTATTTCTTCTCATACCATTCAGACACAGATCAGCCCAGTGCTGCGCTCCTAGGCAGGTGCCTGGAGTATAGTGGTAACTGTGCTAAGCATTGCTGTGTGACTGAGCCAGCAGGGACGACTTCCTCTTGAAAGACTGGAGGAGCCTTACAGTTGGCTCTGGGGAAGGGGTTCCACCGAGGTTCCTGGGCAGAGGCTGGGTGCCCTGTGCCCTTGCCGTCACCAAAGGGGATACCTGCAACCCAACTCAGTGCTGAGCATGGCCCAAACATTCTCCTGTGCAATCTGGAGCTGCCTCGCACTAACGCCTGCCTTATTGGAAGAGATGATGACATTGTGGCTTGGAAGGGTTCACAGCTGCTGAAGTTCCAGTGCGGATTTGGCCAGTAGGAAAACCCAGCTCCAAACCCCATCATCAAAGCTTCTTCACTCTTCTCCTAGTGTCTCTTCTAACCCTGTCCAAGTGGTGACGTCCAGACACCAAATACCATTTCATCACATCCTGGAAATTATATCTATCTAAAATTTCTGCTTGGCACAATATTTTCAGATAAAGCCTATATTCTAGCAAGTATATACAAAATTCTAGTTTCCTAAAACAAACTCAGAAGTTGTTTGTCCTCCAGCCTGCATGCTTGAGAAGCTCTTACATTTGCTGATGAGCAGTTGTCTTCCCAGAAGAAGATTCTGAGAATGTTGAACAGGAGTGCAGTGCTTTCTGGGAGAGATGTAGCCTTGAGTCTCACCACCCCGGGGAAGAGGTGGGGGGGGGGGACAGGTTCTTTCCAAGATGCAGAAATGTTCAGATATTTTAAGCTCCATCTCAGGAGGGGACAATTGATCACCTGTTTTTATTCTCCTGGTCTTAGAAGAAAAAGCAAAGATTGATGAGGGAAGAACCCAGAATGGCAGATTTCAGAATTATAAACATCTATGCATTTTTATACACTCCTGGAACAATCTAAACTGGATGCACTCCCCTCAGAAGAGACATCTTCAGAACCCTCTTTTGCACAGTGGCCAGTTTCCAGAAGTTGGAGATGAATGAGGAAACAGTGGCCCTCAAAGTTAAAATTCCACCAACGTGCCCACTCTTAATATAGGACTCCACTCAATGGAGCTTGCGAAAAAACAGCTCTTCCTAGGTGGTATTTTAAGGTGATGCAGGAGCCGGAGACGATGAAGACATTGCTCTTAGGGAGGACAGCCTTGGTGGTGCATGCCAGGGGTCAGTGGAAGACTCAGTTTTCAGCTAGTTTACCTTTTGGGGTTTTTCCTGTGGGTCTGCACTGCCTGCTTCTTCTGGAGAGAGGTGCAGCCCTCACCTGGCCGTGCTTCGCCTCAGGTGCTTCCGGTGGATTTCAGTCATTTATCCCTTCTCATTCAGGCTGACCTTGTGCTTCTGATTCAGCTGAGACCTGTGTCCTGCAGAGGATGACTGAGTGGCTTCTTTTCAGGGGACACATGCTGGTAGCAGGCTGCAGGGTTTGCCTGCATCTTAGAGGATGCTCCACCTTCTCCAGAGCAGAGGCTGCGCAGGGCTGGAAAGGAACCACGGTTCCTTTTGCTGAACAAATGGAAAAGCAGAAAGGTGAAGTCCTGGGGCAAATTCCTGAGCCCCCAGATTGGAGCTCTGGACAGGAAAGGCAGGAACGCACCAGGACCCTGTGGAGCAGAAACTGGTAACTCCACCTCCTACCCCACACCCAAGCCCTGGGCCTGGGCAGGCAAGCCTGAGCTGCCAGGAGCCAGTCGCCGGAGCTCACAGTGACCAAGGGCAAGAGGAAAGACTCCAGGAGACCGAGTCACCGGGAGGGTACTGCAGGGATGGCGTGCATTGGTGGTCCTGGGCACTGAACCAGAGCTTCGAGCTGAGCTGCCTCCCCAGTCCTCTTGGAATGGCTTATTTTGAGGCAGGGTCTCACTGAGTTGCTAAGTTTCGCAGGCTGGCTTGTCTAGAATTTGGATCCTCCTGCCTCAGGCTCCCAGAATGCGGGCATCACAGGCGTATGCTGCCACATACAACTAAATGATACACTTCTGTGAGTTTGGCTGCTAGGAGCCATTCAGATCCTCACATGGAGGGTTGGAGACCCTCCATTGTATTTCAGCCAGGGCAGGAGTACCTGAGACCCAGCCTATCTGGGGAAAGGAAAACCAGCTCCAACCACTTTGAACTGCAGGGCTCACCTTCTTAACACCTTGGCCTGAGGCCTGGCAAGGGGCTAGACAGTGCCGTGATGCAGGCAAACCTAAGATGCAGGCAAACCCTACCCTGACCCAAGGCCTCTCTGCCTTCGTGCCTCCTACCCAGCTTGCCACATCCACCTTTCAACACAGCTCATGAGAGACACAGCCAGCATCAATATCAGTGTCAGAAGAAGCAGGCATGGGAAGCCGGAGCTCGAATGAACCACCCGAGAGCTGGCTCTGAAGGGCATCTGCAGATCAGCTCCTCCCACCAACCAAGGCGGGGTGTGCCTTTCTCTGGAGCACATGCCAACCAGGGGAACAAGGTTTCCTCCACAAGGGCAAGAGAATAAAACTTCAGATGACATCTGCACTGAGAAGCAACAACGCAACGGTGGCTGGAAACTAAAACAGATAGAAATCAGAAATCAATTCAGTAGAATTCAATTAGAAATGAATAACACAAAAAGGTTGGCAAATCCCCAAATATTAGAGATTCAATGACATATGAATATCACACAGATCCCAGATGAAGCAAACATCAAGGGAAATTTTTAAATAAGTTGAACTAAATGATAATGAACACATAGTATCTCAAAGTCTGTGAGAAGCAATGAAACCAGTGATGAGAGGGAAATTTACAGCATCAGTGAACAATGAGGAAGAAGAAAACTTGGACAGATCACTTCAACATATTGCGTGAAGGGACCAAACAAGGAGAGAGAAATACAGAAGAAAACGAGCAAGGAAAAGCAAAACCAGTGGCACTGAAAATAGGAAATCAGTCAAGACAATCAAAGAAAACAAAAGTAGAGTTTTTGAAAAACCAGTAAAATCTACAAACTTGTAAATGAAATAAAAAAAATTGAAAGTGTGCAAATTACAAACAGCAGAGTGAAGGAGGAGCCAGTGTTGGAATCCTGACAGGACAGGCAGTAATGGACGCAATGGGCAGTCCAGCCTGGCACTCCAACTGCACTACCCAGGAGATCAGCTGAGTTCGCAAAACATAACCCTGCTAAAACTCACACAGAAAGTCAAATGTCCTGACAGTCCACACCCATTAAAGACACTGAATGAACTATTAACAACTTTCCAAAGCAGAAAGCACCAGCAAACCTACTGAACATTTGGGGAAGAATGATACAATT